AAAAAAATAAAGTTAATAGAAGCCATGCCTTCAAATTCAGTGTTATCAATACTGTATTGATACCAACGAAGGGTTAGATCAAGTGATAAGCGGTTTGTTTCAACTTAAACAAGATCTCGAATTCGAGACCTTGTGTATGCAGCAACTTTCGTTGGGAGATTTACCCACCATTTTCAGGTGCGCGACTTGGGTCGGGTCCAGAATAGTTAGGGCGAAACTCCGGATACCGGACGGGAAACCAAAAAAAAAAATTATTGTATTGATTGGTACGGTCAGTATATATATTTTTTAATATTAAATCAAAATAGTACATGTTTTAATTTCATTTTGGTCAAATATTGTCAATTTTGATCAAATTTTGATGTACCAATCTGTATACGAAAATTGACCTGTACCACTCCATTCAAATTTAAAAAAGATAAATTTTATTTTTGGTCATCAACTTTAATGTTCTACATAATTTTTATCATTTAACTTTTTTATATATTTTTTTTAGTCCATCAACTATATAAAAATGTATTTTTTTAAATTTTTCTATCAATTACTCAGTTAAGTTTGTCTAAATATACACATTTTTAGTCTCTTAACTTAAAGTGGATGGACAAAAAATATATATCTTAAAAGTTGAGAAACTAAAAATAATCTTTTTAAACTTGTTTTCAATTTATAAGAATATGATGGTTTTAAATATTAGTATCTCTTATTTTATTTTAAAATTTGATATTTAATTTATAAAAATATATATTTATAGTGATAAATTTGAAATGGTACGTAAAAAATTTCAGTATCCGGTATATACTATTTCAATAACAAAATCGATATGCATACCAATACAGTATTAACAACTTTAGTTCAAATTAATGTAGTATAGTCTTGTTTTAGTAATCTAGAAAATAATCATTCAATCTCTTTTCTTTTTTCTTTTTCAATGCAAAGAGATTTAGAATGAATATTTAGGCTTAGTTTAACATAATTTTAGTTTTTATTTTTTATATATATTTTAGTAATTAATATCTTATTTAAATTAAATTAAATTAATTATAATTTTTTTAAAATTAATATCTATATAATATTACTTATTAAATATAAAAAAATTAAAAATCAAAACTATACTTTACTAGTCAGAGCCTTAAAGTTCTGTTTTTCTTAAAATTGGCTTGAGCTTCTTTAATTTTTTAATTTTTGAAAGCGCATATTTTTTTCCATTGCTTAGGCACATGTGGTTACGCGCACACGCTAGGCCTCAAAAGCTTTAGAGAATTTGATAAGCAAAACCTTCAAATTTACCTCTCAAATATGAAAATAAAAGCAGATTTATCCCTAAAAAATATGGAGATTAGATGCTTTCTAAATTATAAATTGAGATAAATTGTTTATTTTTTACCGTATGACATTAGAATTCTATTTATCACATAAACATGTAAACATTTTTTAACGGAAGTTAACGTCA